GTTACTTTTTAAATCTGGGCTGGGCTTGCTTGTTTGCTTTTAATATAAAAAGTTCTATTTTTGGCAAATATAACAGCCCTTTCACACCAAAAGCCTCAGGCTGAAGGAAATGTAAATTCACGTCTGTACAGTAGAACACAGAAGAAGAAAGTTCAACTCTCTTCAGCAATAAAAAAAAAAAGAAAAAATTTTAGTTTATCTTGTGTAATTTTTGCTTATTAGTATGGTTGAATTGGATCACTGAAGGTCAGCAGCAAATTGGTTAATAAAATGGGATTAAATACATAAAGCACATTTGTATTATTTAATTATTGCAGCTTTGAGTCATATTCTGAGTTGTGTTTAACTGTTTTTATTAATTTTGAGGAAACCCAAATCTGATTTTTTTTTTTTTTGTGAGTGAGTGAGATGAATTAATGCATGTTCACATTTATTCTAGAACTAAAGTAACATCTTACTCCCGATTTCTCTCAACAAGGGGACAGGAGAGCTTTCAATCAATAAATAGGAAAAAAAGTAACTCAGATATTTTCTTGTAAATTAAAAAGTAATGCGTTACTTTACTAGTTACTTTAAAAAAAGTAATCTGATTACGTAACTCGCGTTACTTGTAATGCGTTACCCCCAACACTGTTTATAATTGCGCTATAAACTATTCTAACTAACTACCAGGGAAACTGTTTTGTTTTATTTTTTCTTTAAATAAAGACTGAAAGAGTTGTCAGAAGCTTAATGGTGGCAATGTTGAAGTCATGTGACCATGGTTTAGTTCATTTATAGTCTACGTTTAGCTTTTTACTTCTGCCAGTTGTATTTAGGCTTCAAAATACATAAGCTGTAAGAATGTAAGAATCATAAACTTCTGTTGGTCACAGAGCTTATTTTCTACAATAATCCAAAAGAAAAAAAAAAAAAATCAAGGGAACCAGGGTGATGCAAACCTATGGTTTCAGATTGGCCTACAAAAATACATAATCACTGCAGCACTCTCTATATAAGAATCGTTTAAACAAGCTTGCTTACCCTCATGTTGTTCCAAACCCATATGATTTTCTTTTTATGGTGGAACCCAAAAGGAGATGTTTTGCTGAATGTCCAAGCTGCACTTTTCCAAACAATGAAAGCATGTCAAGGCTGTTGAGCTCCATAAAAGTGCTATAAAGTAGTCCATACACCTTTATTCCAAGTCTTCTTAAGTTAAATTATAGGTTTCGTGGAAGGAAATCTATCATTAACCACCAAATTAAAGGCAGTTTACACTTATTCCCATTCGCTTTTGCTAACTTTTGTAAAATAGCAGCCTGGACACTCTGCAAAACATCTGCTTTCATGCAGTTTTGCAATGACAAGGGGATAAGCAAATGATGACAATCTTTATTTTTGGGTGACCTTCACTTTTCATGCTGACAGCTGAGTTTTGTGTTGCATTGCACAGTGTGGCAGTAATGCGACGGGTCCCGTACCAGTCCCAGAGAAACTGCAGCTGTCTGGCGGGCTGGTGATGTGTTTTGACAGGTGCTGTGTTTTATGTATAGAGGGGGTGGAAAAGTCATACGGTGATAAACCCATTCTTCTATAGAGCCAATAGGGGTGTTTGTGGGGGGCTGATTACTGCAACAAGCCTGAGTAAGTCTATCGAGCACAACTGCTGCTATGGCTTGTGGCTACTGTGGTGAAACCTCTACTGCTGCTCAGAGGTCACACAAAGGACCACATTTCAGAGTAAAAGATGTAGACTTGAACAATTATTATATTAATTACTCGTTTCATTTCTATTTCATTGAGCATAACACTAATAACTAGTATTAAAAATGAAAAAAAAAAAGTAATTAAATGAGTGAGTTTCACCAGATAAATACTGCTGCAATTGTAAGAATACATTTTATTATCTGACCATTCTATGTGTAACATGTTAATGGCCTTGAAACAGCTTCAGTGTAGTTCGCTACTTTTTGTTAGTAGCTTGGTTAGTGCAGCAGCTAACTACTTTTTCAAAAGGGTGGTTTGACAGTAGTTTGAGCAGTTGGAATGATAAAAGACTTCAGTTTCTAAGCACGGAAAGAAAAACAAAAGTCTGAAATTTTCACAGAAAAAAAAAAAACTGACAAAATGCCACAGCTAAATATCTGTTATTTGGTTGACTGTAAGTCACCTAACATATACAATGAAAAACTAACAACAAATGGTTTAACATCAGATCATGTCATTGATCTGTAAGATAAAATGTATGTTTTGTGTTTATGACCCTTTGCAATGTCTTGGCCATGTTTTATGGACAGGTCACATACAATGAACATTCATTGAAAGGCTTTCTATTGTGCCAGTTGGGTACATATAGGGTACAAAAACCTTAGTAGTTCAAATAGATTTGTATATTAACATTATATTATTTAATGAGATATATGGTTGTAAGTTATAAAATACACAGGGACCAATAAGTCATGTCCTTTTTACCATAAATTTAACAGGATTTATTGTTGTTCAGTGAACACTGGGCTGGTAATTAGCCCAATATTTGAAGCTGGATCTGAGCTGCTTTTTTCCCAGCCGACATTTCTGACGTCAGAAAGCTCAGTAGAGTTGTCCCGTATGTGTTTCACAGATGGTTGAAACTAAAAGAGTCACGTTTGACCCTTCACTCCCTCCAGTGTTTGACGAGGAGGTGGCGTAGCATGCAAGCAATGATACATCTGGGAAAACTCTCCATAATCCAGCTCACAAAACTAGATCAGCATCTGTTATTTATTAAAATGACTAACATGTTCAAAGACATTGAGTGGTCCCATCGAGCAGAATTATGTGGATGCGGTGTATGGGGGCAGATGCTGTAAATATTTCAATAATTTAGTGCCGGTCCATCATTTTGTTTTTGATTTGAAAAGATAGTGTATATTGGAGTGTGTTTATGTGTGTGAATGGCCTCACCACAGTTGAGCTCCTCTGCAGTGAGAGTTGCGACCGAGCGTCCCTGCAAGCGGCTGGGATAGTTGCATGTAGCTGCGGCTTGAGCGTTACCGGACTCTGCGTACTGCTTCAACAGATCGGCCAACCACAGCAGTTCACAGTCACAGTGCAGTGAGTTTGAGTCGAGGCGCCTATAAACACACACAAACACAAAATGAAAATAAAATTTGGACAAAATTAAAATGACATTGTTGCAGCAATTCACACTTGTAGTGGATCGGAAAACATTGCTTTCTGATCAAATCACTGATAAATTTGTAGCAGTGTTGGTATAGTTGACTCAAAATTCTGTGAAAAGTCTTGCAAAACTCACATGCAGCACTCATACAGTTTTGAGTACCTCTAATCCTAACCCTTGCCAAAGTTTTATTATCTAATCTCGAATGGCTGGTAGGAGGAGGTTCAGAATATCAACCCAAAAACTTTCAACTTATTACATATTTTCTTTGGTTTTTAATAGATTTCAAGTTATTTAGTACATCTAAACAGAAATTAACTGCCTGTAAATAAATATTTAAAAATGACTTTTTTAACATCCTCATCTAAAGGTATGGTACTAAATCAGGGTTATTATAGTTAACTGAAAATAAAACCATAAAAAAATATATATATATTTTTTGATTTTGGTAAAGTAGGCAACATTTCAAATTTTTATTTAAACTTGATTGAAAAAGCTACAACAAAAACTGAAAAAAAAAATAAAAAAAAATAAATAATAATAAAATAAGATAAAATAAAATAATAAAACATAAAAAATGTAAACATAAAAAAAGGACAAAAACACAACAAAATTACAACAACATTAAATTTAAAATGAAAACCAATTCAAAATGCTAATAAAAAAATACAATAGGATCTCTGTGATATTAAAACAACACTGCACTAAATAGTTTAGAAAGTTTTGGTAGCTAAAGTGAACCACAACCAACTATTCAAAAGTTAATAATCCCAACCGTTAATAATCTTGAGTAATACTCACAGTCTCTTCATGGACTGCAGGTGGGAGAAGGTTCCTAATGCAAGATGAGTAATTCTGTTGTTGTGCAGAAACCTGCAATAGATAATCAATGAGAAGTGCACTGTTTTAAAAGTGTGTATTTACAAATCATGCATATCAAATCTGTGACCAGGTCAGAAAAAAACACAACACATGCCATAAAAGCATATTTAGGATCAGTGATTTGTTTAATCTGTGAGTGTATGTAGTCAAATTGTGTTTTGTTGAGGAAAGATGTGCTATTTGTTTAGAAGGTGACTTTGCTTTTTCGGATCATGATAGAGAAAACAAAACAAAACCGTGTGGCAATTCTTTGGTTAAAATAACATTGCTCACATTTTTGCAAAGCATCAGTTCACATTTGTGTGTGACACTTGTGGCAGATTGGAAAACAATGCTTTCTGATCAAATCCTTGATAATTTTGTAGCTAAGATGGTGTGGTTGAATGACTGCTGAAAATTCATCTTTGCATCACAGGAATAAATTATACTTTAAAATATATTACTATAGAAAAGCGATTAAATTGTAATATTTTTTTTTACAATATTACTATGTTTACTGTATTTTTAATCAAATAAGTGAAGCTTTGGTGAGCAGAAAAAACAAAACAAAAACAAATACAGAGTTCTGGCATGAAACTCTAGATGGCGCAGTCCGATAGGTCTAACTCAATCTGAACTAATGACATCATTATCACATGGCACAGCTGATTGGTTCTCTCCTGTATCGGTAGCCAATGAGCTCGCTGCTCAACATTCAAATATATGACTAGTGCTTGCAGTAGCAGTTGCAGCTTGCTTCAGAAACCCTCCACCTTCCCCAGCTCCACCTGTATAGATCTGCTACGAGGTGATTCATGTATGCTATATGCGGGTTATTTCATGTATGTTATATTTGCAGCAGCAATATCTCTTACATGCTCACAGCAGCATGTTGTGGATGTATTGGCAGTAGCAAGTCTCGGTACTTGCTCTGACGCAACAGCAGCAGCGTAGCAGATCTATTCCGCCAAGACCAAATACATTAACACTGTCATGTACATTACCATGCCAATCCCTCCGAGAGTTGTCATGACAGAACTGTAATTATCCAAAATTTTGACCGGTAGATTATATGCTCTGTGGAATAGAGATGAAAAGATGAACGTCCACAGGGATGTTCTTATTTTCTACCAGGTCAGACGGGGTCACTTTCCCAGGGATGACATTACTGATCACAACTAGTCACATAAACAACAGGAAGGTGAGTTTCATTAATCCAAAATTTTTACATTTTCACTTCTTCACCAGCTTTGAAATGGTCCCTAACTCACGTGTTAGTCCCTGTTTATGTGCGAGTGACTTTCCCTTCTTTGAAAGACATCAGAATGTGTGTGGGTGAATTCAGCGCCACAATCTCCAAACATTTAGAATTCGGGTCAACAGAAAGGAACGAGACAGAGAAGACTGTAATAAAAATTATTTAAGCTTCTTGAACAACACAATCCACTTAAAAATGTAAAATTGAAGTTTACTTAATCCATTTGTGTCGGGATTATCTGAATCACTTTGTTGCATTAACTGACACTGCCCAACATGCTTTGCACAGGGCTGGATCATGAGAGTAAATGCTGACATTAAGTGCTATTTTATGTGTTTTTGAGTAAAGAGAAAGACCTGAACGAAGTCTATACATACTGAATGAGAAATAGCTGTTACTAAGTAATGCAGTGGCATGTAACTTCTTACTTGTTCATGGCAAGCATGTGCAAAAACATCAAGTGGATAATAATCAAGAGTTCATATTACTTACTTTTTGTAAATACTTTGTTTTGTAATGTATTGACAAATGCTGAGCAGGCTTTACCTAATTTCTTTTATGCATCATAGCTAATACATTTAGGGAGTCTTTACTCAACATATGGGATGAAATCTACCCAAACAAACCGAATGCAAAATGCACCCTTCATTTTTTTGAATAGTTTTAACACTAAAACACTATCATCTATACTATATCAGAATTTCGTCTTACTTTTTGCCCATATAAATATCAGCATCTGCACCAAATTGCATATTTTTACCCAGTTTGGGCCTCTGGATAAAACTGAGCTGTTTTTCCTCCTCGAGTTTGAGCTTCATATTCTCACTTCATCATACTATATGAGCCAAAAAAAATCCTTATGTATCAAATATGATACCAACAAAAACACATATGATATTTTTTTTCATATGTCAGGCTTTACAAGGTTAAAGCATCCCTTCTGAAGACAATTCCTCTCTTAAAACAAACCAGAATATAGGCTACACACTAGTGCACGGTGTCAGCTCATGCACACATTTGCCTACACGCTCATCGTTTTTGATCTCATTTTAAAAGGGACGTGTTATCATGACTAAACATGCAACCCTGTAGGGATCTGTGTGATGATTTGAGGTTTGAGATGCATGCGTAACTCACAACCGCTCAAGCTTGGGCAGATGAGAGAAAGACTCCGGCTCCAAAGACTCAATGTTGTTGAAGTGCAGGTATCTGTGTGAGAGAGAGAGTCATATGCACAGTGTTTTACTTGCCATAAACATAGTATCTAGAGCTTTCCCATAGATTTATGTCAACACAAAACGTTGTCCAGTACCGTTTTACTTCCATAATCGTATGCATTTTCAACAATAAAACAAAGAGCATGACTCTGTTTTAATTATTGATAACTTATTGGATAGAGACCATTATTATTATTATTTTTTAAAACAATGTGCACCAGTTAATCATGTAAGATGAGGGACGTGTTTTAGGAAAGCAAATACGCTCTAGTTTCATTTCATGTTGACTTTCAAACATGAAACAAATTTCTAACTCTGTGACAAAAAAAACACCAAAAAACTCTCGCTACAAGGCAAAAATACTGTGGGTTTTAAATGGTCAACAATAACAGTTTCAAAGGATTATGGAGAGTAATAAGAAATAATTGAGGTGACTGTAAAATGTGTTAATATTATCTGAACTCTAGCCAGCTGCAAGCGAGATGTTTATGACATCATGGCAGATATCACTAAATAACCATGCTAAAGGCACAATATGTACGTTTTCGCCACTAGAGGGCACGTATTCAAAACAAACAAAGAAACAAAGTCATAGTTTGATGACGCTGTGACTGAGTGTGGAATCATGGGAGTTGTGGTCTTCATCCCCACAGCCGATGCAATCCGACGGGACTCGGGCAGAAATCATGTTCATGGATGAGCTAATGATTTATTAACGTAGTAGAATGAAGCAGGATGAGGCTGAAAGCCGTCGAAGTGAAACGAGGCGCTGAACTAGCACGACACATGGCTCGAAAGCAGCGGAGCTTTTATTATG